ACAGACAAGATTTGCTTTTGATTTTTTCTGTTGTCTTTGTTTTGGATTGTGATTTCGATATGGGTGTCTTTCTCTCTACACTTACATCACTAATCTCTAATTTAAATATTAAGATAACTCTAAATGCTTTCTGATAACAATTCTTCAAACTTTCCATTATAATTAATTATTCATTTTCATTATAACAGCTAAATGTGTCTGAGAACCAGAGGCCTAGTCATGGATGTAGCATTTAAGTCATATTACAGTAAATTTGCGCTTAACACAAACTGAAATGATCTGGGCTGTGCCCACAAGCATGCACACACACCTTCTCATAAAGTTTTAGACCCCATCTAAAAATTTCTTATTACGCTCTTGCTGAGAACCACGACTGAAAGTATTTAGGTATTTTTTGCGTGAACTTGTTTGTACTTGACCTGCAGCTGGCTGTTGGACTTTTAGGGATTTTCTGCCGATCCTGTAAAGACTGGTTGGAGCCAGCTACAACTGGTTAAGTTTATTATGCAAATATTCTCTACAAGAGTACTGTATGACCATAAGACCACACTGTCAGATATATTTAAAAATGATGAAGCTGTAAGTGAAACAGTGGAGTGAAAGCAGCAATTTTTTTCTAGTTCTGAATTCTTTACTTCTTAAATGCCACACAGATGGAGAAAAACAATGTAAAAACCAATATCAGCTGATTATTCTTTATTTCAGGTTCAATGTACCTGCACATGTGCTATGTGCTAGCTGAATGCAGCAGTGCTAAGTGAGAAACTTGGACATTTGAAGAACATTAAAGGCTGTTTTTCTGAGCACTACTTATGAGTTATGTTAGTGTTATAGTAACACATGAGAAACAATGTTTTTACTCTGTAATTATAAAGAGTTTGTAAATTGAGCGTGTGTTTTAACAGGTTATTACAGTGATGGGTTAGTGACAGTTCTCAGATCTAGGGCCTTGACCCGGCTGACCAGGGTGGTCAATTCTCAAATACTTTATTACTATACAAGTACTATTTTTGAAGATTTGTACTAGAGTTTTAACAAAAATTTATACTTTTTACTCCTTACACCTTCATTTAGACTTTCAAAGTACTACAAATCTCAAAGTTTGGGAGATTTTTCTCTTTTTCTCTTGGTAGTCAGTCGAGCTTCTGCACACTTGAATTGATTGTTTTTATTAAAACAGCTTCACAAATTCACACCAGCATAAAATGAAACTAATTTATCTTAGTGTGACACTAGAGACTGCTGAGTAGTATCTGCACCAAATGAAAAAGACTTTTAATGTACAGTACTGCAAACTGTACTGTAAAAAATCACCTTAACAAATGATTTAAAGCCATTTATCTGAGCAGTAAATGTGTTTTTGTCAATAAAAGAAAATGAATACAAATAAACGTAAGTACAGTAAAAGCATAATAAGAATTGATTTTTTTTTTGTTACCCAAAAAAGTAGTTGTGAGTTAGATAGAAGAGCACAGGTTTGAGTCTGGACTCAACAAGTCCCTCGGCCATAACATCATTTTGTTAAAATCCTTCATCAGTGCAACTGATTTATTTTAATGAAATAATAATTAGCCAAACCAAAATGTAACTATAATTGCTGTAATGTAACTATAATTGCTGTAATGTAACTATAATTACTGTAATGTAACTATAATTAATGCTGGGCTTCTTTGAGGAGACATATGGAAACTATTAAGTGAACACAAAGACATATAAATACCACATCCCTAGTTACTGTGTTAATATTATTTGTATTTATTCTAAAATTAGGGCTTTTGTGAGCAAACAAATGCAAACAACCCAGTTAAATTGCTTTTTAAATATACTATTTTCAGGTAGCTTTTACTTCTGCACAGTCTTGTATATGTTAAAGCAAGTACTTTTTATTTTTAAATACTTTAAATGAACTTTAATTGTAGATAATATTTGACTTTTACTCACTTCTGGTGAGTGAAGGGTGGCCATACGTCACGCTATGTCACGGTGTAAGCTTGTCTTTGCTCTGATAGGCTGCTTTACTGAACAAACAGATGAGTGAATGCTCATCAAGCGTTAGCCTTGTTCATTTGGCTTGAGGAAGCAGTTAATATTACACACATTAGAGAACCACAGTTAAAGGTACCGAAATAAATTTCTCTATCAACACAATGCAGTATTTTTGTTTTATGTTGTGCTGTAGATCACATAATTTTAACCAGTGACACAGTATTCAACTGTAAAAATGACACAGGGATCAAACCAATCAATATTTATCAGTCAACCTGATCAAAATTTGGAACAAAATCAAGTTTAACTGTTTTTATTGTGTGATTAACCAGTTAATAAAACACCCCTGCCCTGCTAGAAGAGATCCAACATACACAGTCAGGCTGGAATCTCGTATAGCATTTAAAAACACTAAAATGACCAAAATTACTGACTCTGTACCTGAAGTAATCAAACAACGAAGAGTAGATCTTCTCTCTAAAAATGCTATTTGTGGTGGTGCTGGTCATGACGTCAGCATGCTGGACAGTCTAGAGTAAGCTTACATGCTGTTTCAAACCTACAACTCTGTGCTTCTGTTTCATATTGGCAGCTGCACCACATAGTGATACGTAAGAGTTATTCCATATTAACTCATTTAAGGCCTGTCAGGCCACATCATGGATTAATATGATAAAATATGAGCAGATAACAGATAATACACCCTGAGTGGTGAAACCATCTAAGTGTTGGCCCAAGCATCATAAAATTATAAGTTTCGATGCCAGGTGACCAAGAGAGCATAACTGATTTCTCTCTCTGGGTGGGTAGGATGGTCCTCCCTCTTCCCCATTACTGAATGTGATTCTAGCCAACACAGGCCTCTGTTAGCTGACATAACAGATTTGGCAGTTAGTGTTCTCCTCCAAGCGTGTTAAGCACATCATCTCTAAGTTTGATTGGAAATAGAAATGGTGGCTAGTATACATTCAGGAAACAACTGATGATAAAGGTAAATTTTTAAAATCCAGTGTTTAATATTAACTGATTAACTATTTGTTTATACTGTGACATGTAATCAAATAGAATGTATGTTCAAAAGATCATTAAACTATGAAGACATCTGCGTGGACACAGCACATCTGTAATAATTTACATAAGAAAGAGACATTTTTTTCAGCAAAACAGTTTGAAAATATGACAGCACAGGGTCTGAAAGGCTGCTGTAATGGATAACAGGTTCTGAAGTCATTTTGAACTGATGATGTAGCGTTGCAGAATTTAATCATTTAATTTAACCTAAAATTGTCCCAAACACAGATTAAAAACTAACTGCAAAATTAAATTTAACAGATTTTACTGTGTATTGGCAAGCACATCCTCCAATTCATGAACCTTCATTAATATGAAACCAAATAATTTGAAAAGGAAATATTATTGTGTTGTCAGTTCAGTTCTATTATGCTAGTGATCAAATATCACTCAGTGAGCAGCAAAACCCAACATTTAGAACCTCTGATGGGCCAAACTTTGAAAAATCTAAACTAAAAACCAATTTGGAGCACAGGGTTAAAATTTGGAATGTTTCGCATGAATAAAAAATAATGCTCAGAATTTTTATGTGAATCTATTCAGTGTGTTGGAGTGTGTGTTACCTGAAGTGAGGCTCTATGGCAGCAAAACGGTGGTTGAGCCAGCTTGTAACACAGAGCAAGAGTGCCCCCTGGAGGAGGACAGTGGAAATGTCTGTCTCTGCGCCGCATACTGAACACACAATGTTTTTTTCTTGTTTATGTGGTTACGACAATATGAAATGATTATGAATACACTGCCTGAAGCTAGAAACATTGATTTTTGGTAGTTTTGTGATGATGTTTTTTCCAAGATTCACTGATCACATTTACACAAGTTTTTTGAGACACAGCGTCTGTTATAATTAGAAGCCATTCTAAAAATCCATCCACCATCAATTGTGTTGTCCTGTCTCCATAAGGCATGTAGTGTTTGGACCCCAAAGATTACCACTTAATCAGTGTAGTTTGTAGACTCTCAGGGTGGTGACGACAGTCCGCAGGATGCAACTGAACTTGAAGTTGAGGGTGAAAGATTCTATCATATCAAACTGTAAACATAACTGTAACCTTAATTTCAACACAAAACCTACATCTACTCCTAAATATGATCCTAATGTCAGAACCTTAAATATTTTGACACTCACAAAATATATATATTTTTTTTTCTTTTTTTACAAATAATTTTTTTTTACAAGGTAACTGGATAATTGTTTTTTCAGCTGTTCCATGGCCAGGTCTGCTATTCCTTCAAAATTTTACTCATAATTAATAAAATGTAAAAGGTTTAAAGTTTTGGAGTCTGTTGCTGTTAACTCTAAATATAAAGTCCAAAGAGCTGTCAGTAAAGCTATCATCAGGCTTAAAAAAACAAAAACCTATTAGAAAGATAACTCAAATATTAGGTGTGGTTAATCAACTATTTAATACATTCTAAAAGAAGAATGAAAGCACTGATCCAAATACGTGTTTTAAAGCATACCACCTCATCTGTCAAGCATGATGGAGGTAGTGTTATGGCGTAGGCATGCATGGTTGCCAGTGGAACTAGTTCCATTGTATTTACTGATGTAACAGCTGACAAACACAGCATGATGAACTCTTACGAAGTGCATAGGATTATAGTATCCGCTCAGATTTAGCCGAATTCTTCAAAACTCATTTAACAACAATTCACAGTGCAGATAGACAATGACCTGAAGCACAATATGAAATGTTCATTATATAATTTTAACTCCCATGTGCTGTGGCAGACAGTTAAAATAACAATAACTTTATCCAAATATGTATGAATTTTACTGTATGTTTCTCTTTCCTGCTCTTTACTTGGAAGTGACAGACAGACAGACAGACAGTAAACAGTCCAGACTCAGGAGTTTATTTCACACACAAATCCAAACATTCTCACTGTGTAACACATTCAACACCAGCTTCTGAACGATTCACAGCAAATGTCTCTTTATATATGTAAGCAAAACAACACTACGAACTGTACTGATGTAACTCATTCTGATGTAAACTAAAGTAAATAACATGAACATAAATGAGAACGCAATCTGTTATCGTAATATTAATGTAGTGGTAAGCATTATAATATTTATCTAGTAGTGATTTTGTCTTAATATTTCTCTAATAGAGATCATCTCCACCCATTATCTCATCAATACACACATGTAACTACCTGCAGTTATATTACATGTAAATATCATCTGAGACTCACTTGTTTGTTGATCCTGTGTTTTATTTCTCTTGTTATGTCTTATAATAACTTAATTGTAGCTCTTCCTTATACAGCTATGTGATTAGTACAGGTCTGTGATTTGTATAGAACTGTGATGGTGTAGTGATGTGACTCTGCAATTTCCACCAGGATTAATAAAGACTATCTATTGATCTATATTTCTGTCCACCTATTACAACAATATGGCCCATTTATAAAGCGGCAGAAGTTACATTCTATATATTCCACCATATTCATTAGATGAATCATTATTTATCACATAATCTCACAGATGATCCAACACCACCCACTCCAAACCCAGCGTAGAGCGGCTGAGTGAATGTGGTGTGGACTGTGTGTAGGAGGGTCATTGTGTCAGAGACGCTGTAGAAGGACAGAGTTCCTGCACTGTGATCCACATACACTCCTATTCTGGAGGATGATGGTCCTGAGATCTCAGTCTGAATGTTGTTGTGCAGGAAAGTGAGAGATGGAGAACACAGCAGACTCCAGGACTGACTGTTGTGTCCAAACCCACAACCAATACCCCGTCCTTTCCTGCTGAGCCCTTTTTGTAACACTGATATGTACACATATCTCTTACTGCTCCACTCAACCTCCCAGTAACAGCGTCCACTCACACTCTCCTTACACAACACCTGACGCCAGTAGTCAAATCTCGCTGGATGATTAGAGTATGACTGTTTTTTAAAACTGGATGTCACCACTCTGTTCTTCTCAGACAGAATGAGGTGGCAATGTGCTGTGTTGGGATTCAGAGTCAGCTGACAGAAATCTGAATAGACAGAAAGAAAGAAAGAAAATAAGCATTTTAGTGTTTTTGGTATTTACTTGAAGACAAATACAGCGTCTTTGTTTTTCATCCTAAATCATCTCTAAACTGAATATTTTAGATACTGCATAATGTTCACCAAGAACAACAGATCAATCATAAGATAGAAAGATAAATAATGTGTGTGTATGTGAGTATGTGTGTGTGCGTGTGTGTATGTGAGTGTGTGTGTGTGTGTGTGTGTGTGAGTGTGTGTGTGCATGTGTGTGTGAGTGTGTGTGTGTGTGTGTGCGTGTGTGTGTGAGTGTGAGTGTGTGTGTGTGAGTGTGTGTGCGTGTGTGTGTGTGAGTGTGAGTGTGTGTGTGTGTGCGTGTGTGTGTGAGTGTGTGTTTGTGTGTGTGTGTGTGTGTGTGTGAGTGTGTGTGCGTGTGTGTGTGTGCGTGTGCATGTGTGTGTGTGCGCGTGTGTGTGTGTGAGTGTAAGTGTGTGTATGTGAGTGTGTGTGCGTGTGTGTGAGTGTGTGTTTGTGTGTGTATGTGAGGTGTGTGCGTGTGTGTGTGTGAGTGGTGTGTTTGTGCATGCTGTGTGTGAGTGTGTGTGCATGTGTGTGTGTGTGTGTGGCGTGTGTGTGTGTGTGTGTGTGTGTGGCGCGCGTGTGTGTGTGTGAGAGCGTGTGTGTGTATGTGAGTGTGTGTGCGTGTGTGTGTGTGTGAGTGTGTGTTTGTGTGTGTGTGTGTGTGAGTGTGTGTGCATGTGTGTGTGTGTGTGCGTGTGTGTGTGTGTGAGTGTGAGTGTGTGTATGTGAGTGTGTGTGCGTGTGTGTGTGTGTGTGTGTGTGCGTGTGTGTGTGTGTGCGTGTGTGTGTGTGTGTGCGCGCGTGTGTGTGTGTGAGAGCGTGTGTGTGTGTGAGAGCGTGTGTGTGTATGTGAGTGTGGTGTTTGTGCGTGGGTTGTGTGTGTGTGTGTGTGTGTTGAGTGTGTGTTGGGTGTGTGTGTGTGTGTTGTGTGTGTGTGTGGCGTGTGTGTGTGTGAGAGAGTGTGTGTGTATGTGAGTGTGTGTGCGTGTGGTGTGGTGTGTTTGTGTGTGGTGTGGTGTGTGAGTGTGCTGTGTGCGGTGTAGTGCGCGCGTGTGGGTGTGTGAGGAGCGTCGTGAGTGTGTGTGCGTGTGTGGGTGTGTGTTGTGCGTGTGTTTTTGTGTGGCGTGTGTGTGTGTGATGTGTGAGTGTGTGTGCATGTGTGTGTTTGTGTGGGTGTGTGAGTGTGTGAGTGTGAGTGTGTGTATGTGAGTGTGTGTGCGTGCGTGTGTGTGTGTGTGTGTGCATGTGTGTGTGTGTGTGCGTGTGTGTGTGTGTGAGTGTGAGTGTGTGTATGTGAGTGTGTGTGTGTGAGTGTGTGTGTGTGTGAGTGTGTGTGTGTGTGTGTGTTTGTTACTCATACACTGCAGAAAATCTTCTCTGGTTTTTGGTTCTGATGATAAAATCTGAACTGCTGCAGCTGTGGAGACACAAACACACAACAGACCAACACAGTCAATAGAATAGAATAGAATAGAATAGAATAGAGTAAATAAGCAGTGTGGTGAAGGGGGATCTGGAGTGGCACCTATGCTTGCAGGTTATGTTTCCCGCGGTAACGTTATCAGACAACAGCCTGGGTGTGGAGGTAGGAGAGAATGGTGGTGCACGCAAGCAGCACCACCGCCAGGTGATGCAGAAGACACTGGCGCAAGTGCAGGGCAGCCATGAAGAGCACTGCTGATGCTGCTGCTGTCGGCACCAGAGGGCACGGGACTTGATGCTGTGAGCTGTGAGAGGTTCCGCGTGTGAACCGTTCAGAGACTTTGTGATCCTCAGAGATAAGGACTTTTGTTAGCGGGGGTAGTGTAGCATTGGGGGGAAAAGTTTTTGGGGTTATTCAGGGGTCGTTATGCTGGGGGGACTCTTATTGTAGAGAGCAGTATTGGGGGCTGCCATGCTATGCCCTTGGATTGTTTGGCTGAGTATGGTAGGAACTGGGGAGTCAGGCTTGAGTGCTTGAGCGGTGGGTTCTTCCACCTTTTGGCAGGTGAGGCCTGGGCCCTACATAGAACTAGCTTTTTTCACTTCTACCATGTATGGGGCAAGCTGTGGCCAAATACAGCCCTGATAAAATGCTAAAGTTGTAAATGGTTGTGATCCCACAAACATGCCCACTCCAGGTAAGGGGAAAGAACCTGCCCCAGGTGAAGGAGTTTAAGTATCTTGGGGTCTTTGTTACAAATGATTGGAAGAAGGATCTGGAACAGGCAGCGGCAGTAATGCAGTCACTGTACCAGACTACAGTGGTGAAGAGGGAGTTAAACCCTAAGACAAAGCTCTCTGTTTACCGGTTGCTCTACATCCCAACCCTTCCCTATGGTCATGAGCTTTGGGTAATGACTGAATAAATGAGATTGCAGATACAAGTGGTGGATTCTTCACAGGGTGGTGAGCTACATTGTGCTTGATAGGGTGAGGAGCTCAGTCATCTGAGAGGAGCTCAAAGTAGAGCCGCTACTCCTCCACATTGAGAGGAGCCAGTTGAGGTGGTTCAGGCATCGGATCAGGATGCCCCCTGGCCGCCTCCAAGTCGAGGTTTACCAGGCATGGACTACTGGGATGAGACCCCGAGGTCGTACTAGGACCCGCTGGAGAGATTATATCTCCAAGTTGGCGTGGCAGCAGCTCAGCGTCCCCCAGGATGAGCTGGAGGAAGTTGCGGGGGACATAGTCATTTGGGATTTTCTGCTCTCCCAACTGCTACCGGGACCCTAGCTGGATTAAGCGGTTTAGGATGATGATGATGACTTTCCTTCATAGTAGTGGGAACACCACAACATATTTCCAGTGGAGTGGAACAAAGACATATTAGATCAATTCTGCAGAGATTGGGAAGCTTCTGGCTCACCTTTACTCTTCCTGTTCAAGTAAAGATTTCCATCCTTCTGTTCCACAGCAGGACAGCTCCTCTTACCATGTGGAGGGATTTTACTGAACTCCTCTCTGCAGAACTCCTCTAGTCGCTCTTTCAGCTCAGAGAGAGATCTCCTCACTCCATCAAATGAGAGGTGTTGATGGACAGTGATGCTGGGTGAGTCCTCAGATCCAGAAGAGACACAGAGAGACTGGAAACTCTACAGAGAGAACAAACACAGTGGAGAAAGATAAAGGAGTACGAGAGAAATGAAGGAGCTCCAATCAGACTAAAGACAGACTTGTGATCACAGACAGGTAGATTTACTGCTGCCTTAATGAACTTTTGCTGAGAGGAGTTTTAGAAGCTGGATGAGGAGCAGGTTCCTCTGTAGATCAGTGATTGTTACCTGGAGGAAATGGATGTGATCCTCTGTGTGTGAAAGCTGCTCCAGCTCAGTGTGTCTCCTCTTTAGATCAGCGATCTCCTGCTCCAGTTTCTCCAGGAGTTCTTCAGCTCCACTCAGTTCAGCCTCCTCCTGAGCTCTGATCAGCTCTGCTACCTCAGAGCGCTTTTTCTCAATGGAGCGGATCAGTTCAGTAAAGATCCTCTCACTGTCCTCCACTGCTGACTGAGCACAGCGCTGTTAGGACAAGAACATTTAAGATGGAAGCATTACCCCTTACCCCAAATGTAGTTTATCAGCCAAAACATGTTTAGTGTCTGAAGTTTGTTCCATTAGTTTTGCAGCTACAAGGCTAATCAAGCTAACAAGTAATGGAAGTATACAACTCAGTTAGTATTATGCTGTATGAGCTACAGACAACTGTTGGATTCCAATATTAGGTCCCCAAACTGACCCAGGCCAGAAACCAACAGTGAACTTCTCTGACAGGTTCCCTGCTCTATTGGCTAAAGGGTTGTTGAAGATGTCTACTATCTTCTACAAGCCCTTATCAATCTGCCTAGTGGACAAAGCTTGTCCTGTACAGCATGTGCCATTTCTCTCTTGACCTGCCAACAGTTTACATTGAAGCAGAATTCCTCGGAAAATTCATTAACTTCACATTGTCACAAAAAGATATTACAATTTCACAGGACATTCATAACATATTGTGACATGTCATATGTTTGTGTAACGATACCATGTTGTATGAATGGATGATTCATTCTTTTTCTTGTAAAGTGTATATACAAACATGTCATGTTTCATCTCAAATTGAATGTAAAATCACCTGAAACATTGAGTGGTGAGATCATCAACTTCTGAGTTGGATCTCTGACTACAACTCTCTGACCGATCCCAGTTTGAACTCAATGAGAATCTTTCAGGTCAGAAGACAAGATGACGTGTGCACAGTTCTGGATCTGAAAGGTGCAGTGGGTCTTTTCCCCTTATTCTCAGGAAAATCCACTAAAGACTAATGATAAACGCCAAGCCACATAGTCCAACACAAAGATCATCTAGAACACAAATATAAAGCTTTTCTCTGCTTTCCTCCTCAGTGGTGGTGGTTTGTCTCAAAATGTTGTAACATTGTAAACAGACAACAGCAAACCAGACATTCTATTGTTTTCAATGGGGCTGCGATGTAAAATTCTGCCATTGCCAGCAGAAACGTTCCACAGATTGCAGCAGTAAAGGGAATATTCCTTCAACAGTGCAACTTCACCAACTTTTGCCATAGAGCCATGGAAGCCAAACATCTCATTGTTGAATTTCAGATGAACCCAGTGTTATAGGACACAAAATAGAAGAGAACAAAGCATCCTCAAGTCACATTTTCCTTAAATAAATAGTATAGACTCCTAAAGTTTTCCTCTGGTTATCATCCATTTGCAGCAATAATGCTGTCACCTCACCAACTGACGGTTGTGTACTGCAATGAAGCACTGAACAATGTTTTTTGTGCACAAACGTGAACGTAGCATTAGTGTTGACCATCAATTGTACCTCATTTGGAGACTTCTGTCCTGTTGAACTGGTGCTCCTCTTATTAGAATTATTATTATGATAAGTAATCATTTCTAAAATGTGAAATAATTACACCGGCACACATATATATATATATTCACCATCAGACTGACAGATAGCTCTGGAGTCCAGTAGCAATGTATATATACATAGACACATATGATATATAATATAATTGTTTTTTTGTTTTTTTTTTGCAGGACAGCAAAGTAAAGATTATAGTCTATAAACTCTGGTAAGGTAGCTTAGGATAATTAATGGTTTGTTTTGCTTTTGTATTTCCTCGTCTTTATTTCTACATCACCTGCCCCATTTGAATGTATGTTGCTGCTGAAAAAGACAGCAGCTTAGGTCATCTTGGTGTTTTGCTGGTGTAGCTCGTTTAGCTGGTTTAGCTGGTCTGCTGCTGGTTTAGTTGGTCCCCCAGGATGATGTTGCAATATGTAGGACGATAACTGCACTGCTGAGGCAATAACTGCACCATTACATAGTCGGACACAGTGTGATTCTAATAATAACAGTTTCATTAATGCCACAACATTTGGTATCGCACTGTGTGACCTGTTTAGGAAGAATTTTACGCTTGTATTTATTGCCAAATACAGTGTAACATCGTTTAAATGTTGTTTTAAATAGACAGTAAAAAAACTTATGAGTTATCTACCTTTACAATAGTCTACCATATATCATTCAGGAGGACTGACTTAGAAGAGTATTTATTTAAAATCTAAAACTATATTTAATTATATCTGTAACCTTTGTCAAAACTATGTACAATTGAAAAAAAATGTAATGACAAAGAAATGCTTTTAAAAATATATATTTAACAGCTATTTAATAGCTATTAGCATACATTGCAAAAATGTATTTGATAGAATTTCATTTAAAATGCAATTAAAAAATATTTTTAACAAATATTTTTTTTTGCCATGTTCATTCATTACAAAAATATATAATCCCATTCCCAAAAAAGTTGGGAATGGGGAAAATGAAAAAAGAAACAAAATGCTGTGATGTGCAAATAATTGAAACACTAAATGTCATTTAGTTTAGTTTAGTTAAATTAAATTTTTACAAAGACAACATTTCAAATGTTGAAACTGAGAAATTTTATTGTTTTTTGAAAAATGTTAAATTTGATGCCAATAACGCGTTCCAAAAAAGTTGGGACGGGGCAACAAAAGGCTGGTTAAGTTGTGTACTGCTAAAAAAACACCTGGTGGTTGATTGACAGGTCAGTAACATGATTGGGTATAAAGTGCATCTCAGAGAGTCTTTCAGAAGTAAAGATGAGGAGGTTCACCACTCTGTGAAAGACTGCACCATTAAATAGAGCAACAATTCAAGAAGAACGTTTCTCAACATAAAAAAAAGCAAATAACTTCTGCTTTTCATCATCTACAGTACAAAATAACATTTAAAGACTTAGAGAATCTAAGAAATCTCTGTATGTCAGGGATAAGGCCAAAAACCAGTATTTGCTGGCCGTGATCTTTGGACCCTCAGGTGGCACTTCATTAAAAATTAAATTGGTAAATTGTGTAATGCTAAAAAAACACCTGGTGGTTGATTGGCAACAGGTCAGTAACATGACTGGGAAAAACTGCATTAAAAACAGACATGATTCTGTAGTGGAAATCACTGCATGGGCTCAAGAACACTTTTGAACACCACTTTGTGAAAACAGTTTGTCCACAGATCTACAAATGCAAGCTGAAACTCAGAAAAGAAGAAACCATATATAAACAGGATCCAGAAACACCGCCAGCTTCTCTGGGCCCGAGCTCATTTAAAATGAACTGAGTGGAAGTGGAAAAGTATCCTGTGGTCTGACAAATCAACATTTAAAATTCTTTTTGGAAATCATGAATGCTGTGTCCTCTGGGCTAAAGACCACTCAGGTTGTAATCAGTGCACAGTTCAAAAGCCAGTATTCATGATGGTATAGGAGTTCATTAGTGCACATGGTATGGGTGACGTGCACATCTGTGAAGGCACCATTAATGTTGAACGATATATACTTGATTTGGCAACACATGCTGCCATCAAGATCTTTTTCAGGGAAGGCTTTGATTATCTCAGCAAGACAATGTAAAACCACATTCTGCATGTATTACAACAGCATTGCTCTGTACTAAAAGAGTCCGGGTGCTAAACTGGCCTGTCTGCAGTCCAGACCTGTCACCACTGAAAACATTTGGTGCATTATGAAATGAAAAATTCAACAAACGAGACCTAAAAGTGAGGAGCAGCTAAAATCCTGTATCAAACAAGAGTGGAAAACATTTCACTTTCAAAACTACAGCAGCGTCTCCTCACTTCCCAAACACTTACAGAGTGTTGTTAAAAGAGGTGATGAAACTCAGTGGTAAACAGGCCCCCGTCCCAACTTTGCCTTTGTAGTATTTTCTTTTAAAAATATGGTTTACATGATTTGCAGATCATTGCATCATATTTTTATTTACATTCTGCACAGCATCCCAACGTTTTTTTGGAAATGGGGTAATACTTTAAAAAAATAAAATGTGTGGAAAATATGTATATATTTTTTTCCATATGTGTGTCGGATCTCAAAGTGCCCCAACACTGAGCTCCTCACTGTCTGACTGGAGGAGAGACTGACTGAACTCTGAAACACCAAATCTCTGCTCAGTTCTCACCTTAAGAGTCTTCACAGTCTGTTTCAGCTCCTGCTGCTTCTTCTGTTTCTCCTGGATTCTCTGCTGGAATTTACTCTGAATCTCCTTCAGCTGATTCTATGAACAAATACATTTTGTGATGTTTATGACTTTTTAGTTTTGTCCTACAGAGATTGAATTTATTGAAGCTAAAGAATAAAAGAATTAAAAATAACTCTTGTTCTATGCAGTTTGAATCTTGTGAGCACGATAAGGCTGAAAGATGGGTGTTGGATATTCACAAACTGGTCTGACCTGTTTGTTGTACACGTTCTTATCAACAGCACTTTTAATATATTTTTTTCAAAATCAATCCCTTAAATTCAAGAGTGGGATTAGCACAAATAGATTCTAAAAGATTTCTAGTTCTCACCTGTTTCTCGGTTCTCTCAGTTACAGCTGGGACTGTATCGTGACCTCTGTGTTCCTCCATTGTACATAAATAGCAGATGCAGCTTTGGTCAGTACGACAGTAGAACTTCACTGCTTCATCGTGCTGAGAGCAGATCTTCTCCTGTAGCTGTGAGGAGGCTTTGACCAGCTTGTGCTTTTTCAATGCAGGAACTTCACAGTGAGGTTTAAGATGAGTTTCACAAAAGGAGGCCAGACACGTCAGACAGGACTTGATGGCTTGGAGTTTTCTCCCAGTGCAGAAATCACACTCCACATCTCCAGGTCCAGCGTAACGGGGAGCAGGAGAAGCAGCTCGGAGTTCTGTCTCCTTCAGTTTCTCCACCACTTCAGCCAGCATGTTGTTTCTGCTTAAAACAGGCCTTGGAGTGAAGGTCTCTCTGCACTGGGGGCAGCTGTAGACCCCCCTCTGATCATCCTGATCCCAGCACCCATTAATACACACCTTACAGAAACTGTGTCCACAGTTGATGGTCACTGGATCCTCCAGCAGATCCAGACAGACTGGACAGCCGAACTGGTCATGTTCCACTGAAATACTGGCCATTTTCCTGCCCTTCTAGACAGAGAGAGAGCAGCTCTCTGAGATCAGTTTCATTTACTCTGAACTGGGTGTGTTTTTGTAGGTTAGTGTTCTAGAGAGGGCGGAGAAAGAGAGAGTGATAAGAATGAGGAACAATCAGAGAGACCCAATCGACAGAGTCAGAAATGTTTAGGAGAATTTTGACAAAACGTCGTGGCCAGTTAATCTTCAAATCTGTTTCCTCATATTTTGGGGACTGAGCTGTGTACTGTGTGGGTTTTGATTCATTTGCATAACCATAAACCCTTTTGTTGTCCAGTAATGTTAACAACTGCTTATCTATTCATAAATAGACTAGATTAGCAACTTATTATTTTAAAATTGAGCTGTCAATACTGCTACACTCTACAGTAAGTTGTAGGGTATGTGCTAACACTGCTTTGTACAGGGGTTAAAAAACTTTTTGTCCCCAGGCTGTGTTCAGAGAGCTGCTAGCCACCAGGCATAAAAACTTTTATGTTGTATGTGTGTATTTGTAGCCCAATGATGAGCAGTTCCATTCCAAAATGTGCTGTGGACGGTGCTACACAGGCCCAGGGAAATTTAAGCAGAGCAGGCAAGCAAGCCCAGCAGCAAGCGCTCAGTATTAGCCTAAAGATTGATGTTGAACAGCATCCGGCACTTGAGAGTCCTGCAAGGAGTGGAGAGAGCACAACGCCATCACGACGGCTGCTGCAAGCCGGAGTCATACACCTGCCCCCTAAAATGGTAAAAATCTCAGGGAGATCTATGAGCAGAATTAGGCAAATTCTGAAGGCTGAATACACTGTCCTAAATGCTCAGTAATACTGAGTTAAAAAACCGGCTCATCACACTGATTCATCAGTCTACTCAGTCTCTAGCAGGAACTTCAGTGTTTGTAACAAAGCTGTTGAGGTCCTTGTTTAAGGAACATGTTTGCTACATGCTTTGCGCTGATTTTAAAAAAATAAATGAGCACTGATGGTGTTCCTTTTAAATACTGTACAAGGCTCAGTGGCAAGATTATTACTGTGGAGCTGGTGGCAATGCAGCTGACAAAGGCACTTGAAGGAAAAATGATCCAAACGCTGCTTGATGTTCCTGAGGCAGAACACGGGCAGTTCCTAAGCGACACTTAGGCAAAGTTTTAGCTTTAGTGGTGTTTTATCGGTGTGCTGGTTGCCAAGCAATGCAGTTTGGTGAAGCAGGCCTACCCCAGTGCTCATAACTAGCAGCATGACTCAGAACATAGTGCTGGACTAAAATTTGTCTAGATCATTGTTTCCTAATCTTGGTCCTGGGGGCCACTGTTCTGTACTTTTTTACTGTTTTCACCTGTTCACAACTCATCGACTCATTAACACACCTACTAAATAAAATGGGTGTGTTAAAGCAGGGATGGCACTACAATGAGGAGAGCAATGGGCCTTCAGGACAAGGGTAGAGAAACACTGCTGTAGTTTGTGTGTTGATTGTTAAATGCGACAGAAGTGTTTTTAGTTGCCATCCTGAAAGGGGGGGCTGTTTGGTGACTGTCCTGTGTGCTGTGTGCATTTGGGGAACCTTTGCATAATTATAAGCCCTTGTGTAGCCCTGTAATGTTAGAGAACATAGCCTATATTATCAAATTAATGTCATAATTGAGCTCGTAATGCTTCTGTTCTCTTAAGTGGGTAAATTACATTTAGGACGTTTTGATCTCCACTACATGCTTTTATATATTGGTCTGGCACTGTGTCTGCCTATAATGATCTCACAACATGTCTTTACAGTGGAATTGAACTGCACTGAAAGTTTGAGTTGTGCTTAGTTACATTAGTGTGTGTTTGGTGGAGGTGAACAACATTATTGTTGGTAAAGTGTGGAATGAGGAGCTGTCTTCTATATTGTCTAATGTGTTTTGGAGTAGTTCGATTTGACATGCAATCTAGCAGTGACGATCCTGTTCTAGGGGTCAGAGGTGCTGGTTGGGGGGGTGGCAGAGCTGACCAGAAGAATATAGAGAATATTCAGACAGTACAGGGGGAATGACTGAACAGCATTATGAGCATTATGTGTGTCTGGACCCCACAAGACTTTCTAGGTTCTAATGTCAAGTAATGTCAAGTATATTAATTTAGCTTTTATGACATATTAATGTTGATATTTCACTTTAGGGGAGTGAAAATATAGACCGTTCAGTTTTTTTTAATTGTTTATAGTTTACATTTTTCAGCAAATCATTATTTTGCAGGACGTATGACTTTTACATTTTTTGTTTTGCAATAAAATGTGTACTTTTTTCAGTCAAATCAATCTATGTAGTATATAATTAAAGAACTATAGAAACAAGATATATCAATACATTAAATATCAATAACTTTACTGAGATTCATGACACAAAGTCCCTAAAATTAATTTAGGAGAGCTGTTTTCATTCCTGTGATCTGAACACAATTTTCATCCATACCGTCTTGTGCCTCTTTATTGTAGACATTGTTTAATTAGTACATTTAGTAAGAAAAAAAACTTTCCTCACCTGATCAGCTTCAGGGTGATCAGATCCAGGGTGATTCATTTCCACCACTAGCTGCTAAACCACTACTACATATGAGTCTTCTTGTAAAGTCATGTATTTGAAAAAGAGATGATCACAATGGTCTCAGGTCTGTTAGGGTACAGAAATACAATAAATGTACATTTAATTATTACAAATATAACAAATACTGCACCATCATTCTGGTATTAAACTCTGTAAATGATCTTAAGTTTAAGCACCTGGAGTATTTGTAGAATACTGGACTGTAAAGACTCAACTCTCCCTGGGCCTATGTAGCACCATCCACAGCGCATTTTGGAATGGAACTATTCATCATTGGGCAACAAATACACACTTACAACATAAATGTTATGAGTATTGTCAAGCCCTTTATAAGTAAAGCCTCACTTCTTATTTTTTACCGCAAGTGTCTGGCTGGTTCTGTTCCGTTACAGAATGAGCTACAGTGAGGCTTTCCAGAAGGCCATTACTACTCAAGGCCATCTGCTCGGACAGCAACAACAGGTTATGGCAGGCATTACTTACTCCATAGAAGCTCTGACCCAATAGCAAAAGAAACAACAGATACAACTGTTTCAGTTGGTTGCCAACGTGAAACAGCCAACATCTCTACTACAAGCATTAGGTATGACTGCGTGAGGTTGCTAATGTTTGGGTTGGTTTCCAAGTCTCTCCTCATGCAAGTTACTGCTTATTGGCAGGAGAATTCTCTTGTCACTTCAGCCCTGATCAGTTCCAGTGCTGAGGGAAATTTCATCCATACCCAGCTCATGGAACAGCTTCAGATTCCCGTGGAGCCCCTGCAACTACAACTCGCTGTGGTAGATGGAGAAGCCATGGGAACTGGATCCATCACAAAAAGCGCTGAACCTATTAGACTTTGCACAAGTGCCCTACTGTTCCAGGTGGCCCCACAGCAAGAAGTGCCTGGATTTGATTCCTGGCTGGGTGACCAGGGTCCTTTCTGTGTGGAGTTTGCATGTTCTCCCCTTGTCTGCCAAAAACATGCAGCCAGGCTAATTGGACATGCTAAATTGCCCCTAGGTGTGAATGTGTGTGACTGTGAATGTGTATATCTGTCTGTCTGCTCTGCGATGGACTGGTGACCTGTCTAAGGTGTTTCCTGCCTTCCGCCCAATGACCTCTGGGATAGGCTCCAACTCTTCCCGCGTTCCAGAAGGATAAGCAGCTTAGAAAATGTGTGTCTGTGTGTATTGGATTCTTTGTCATCCTAGGTCTTCCCAGGCTGGTGAAGCACAATCCCCATATTTCCTGGTCCAGTCGTGAGTTAATCTCCTGGTCAGAATTCTGCCTACAAAACTGTATCACTCATATATCAGTTGCTCTTAGATCTACCTCGACTGAAAGCCCCAATACTGACAACGCTTGTATCCTCCCTGATGAATACTCTGACTCTCTAGAAGTTTTAATCAAAGGAAATGCCGCCAAACTACCTCCTCACTATCCGTATGACTGTTCCATTGCTCTTCTAGATAATGTTACTCTACCCAAATCAATGTACCCATTAAGCTACACCTCATAGCTTTCTTTTCACATAAACTAACACCCACCGAATGCAACTATGGCATAGGAGATTGTGAACTCTTAGCAGTGAAATTGGCCTTAGAGGAATGGAGGCACTGGTTAGAGGATGCTAATCACCCTTTCATGGTCCTGACTGTTCACAAGAATCTCGAATACCTCCGTACCACTAAACGATTTTTGTCAAGTCCGTTGGTCTTTATTCTTTTCTAGATTTAACATTAATATTTCCCTTTGCCCTGGCTCCTGCAACACCAAACCTGACTCATTATCCAGAGTTTATCAAAGACAGGAAGAGTGAGGTAGCAATCAAGCGCCTGAAAATATCCTGCGTCCCCATGTTAAAATCTCGTAGGACATAAAAAAAAACTCTAGTGAATTCTACTATTCCAAAACAATGTCCTTCAGACAACTTCAATTTAGAGATTGCCTTATCATTTGGGCTTATTTGTCACTTACCATGGACCTTCCAGGTGAAACTCAACAGCTCCTCACGAATCGATATTGGTGGGAGACCATGAATAATGGTGTTCATACTTTTGTTGCATCATGTTCTATCTGTTCTCGATGTAAAACCTATCGCATTTCAGACTGCTGGGACTTTGTTCCACCAGGTATTTAGACATTTCAGCATCCCAGGGAACCCAAGGAACATCTTCTCTGATAGGTGACCTCAGTTCACATCCCAAGTCTGGTCTCCCCTCCTATCAGCCTGGAGACAGGGTTTGGCTGTCGACTCTGGATTTCAGGTTTACTAAGGGAAGTAAAAAGCTGAATCCTAAATACACTGGTCTGTTCAAGATACTTGAAAAAGTCAATGATGTTACTTAAGCTAGACTTACCTGCTTGTTATCGTGTCTCACACTCATTCCATGTCCCCACCCACGTGATCCTAGTCTATGCTGTACGTTGGCTGCTGGACTCCAGAAGATGGGGAGGCCAGTTACAGTACCTGATC